CATACTCAGAACTGGCAAAAAGGACCAGTATGTTTGTCTCCATCAAGCGTCTCATAGTTTCCATTGATGAAAATCCGGCATTTCGCTCGTCGCTCAGTGCCCAAACAGGGCGCTGGGAAGGGCTGATTGCTTTGCACTGTGATTGGCTACGTTGTGCACGACCTCTGACGGCGAGGTTGTCACTTCCTGTTAGCGAAGCGTCATTTCCGTTTTTGGTTAGCCAGTGGCAATGCTTAGCCCAGGTGAAAGTGTTGTCTTATATGAGAAAAACGTAGCCTTGGTACAATCAAGGTAATTTGTTTTCTCACTAAATTGACCACGTGTCCTTTGGCGACACGTATTGGTTATCTTGATCAAGTTTGGATGAATGTATTGAATAAAGTGTGGTGAGAGTATTTTCAACAGTAAGGAGGAAAACGAAAGAAAAATATCGAATTGATAACTGCCACAGTGAGCAAGCTCGATACCCAGGCATAAATTTACCCACAATACCCTGCGCGCCGTTAGCTGCGACCCCGTGTGACGTATTTCCTTCACTAAAATCAAGGCGACGAGCGAAATCCGGTATTAACGTAGCGTAATGTAATCTGAAGTTGTTTTACTTACTTTGATCTATCTTTTGTTTACAAAGAATGATGAAATTTCCACAACATTAGTGATACTAAACCCATTCCTTCCCGAATGGTGGTTACAATGTTTAACGTTATCTTTCTGTTAAGGGGGTAATAGTTTCGAATACTGGATACTCATGAGGTGTGTCTTAAGTTATCATTCAGAAATAACGTATGAGGTCACAAGCCAAGAAAGTTTTGAAGTTAATCATTAACCTGCACCCCTATTTCCTACGAAAGGACATTATTTTAGCGTGTTTTCAGGTGTTACACATTCATTTTTGATTACTCGCAAGGTAAGAGTGACACAGTGCAAAATGTTCACTTGAATTGTGGACCTGGGTGTATGCTCCGTGAATAAGTTTATTTTAGGATCACCCGTATTTTTTTTTTTAGTATACCTCAGTATGTATGGTTTGTAATCAAGACGAGTTTGCAAAAGTAAGGCTCAGGTAATATTCCAGAATTCTTAACTTTATGTCTTCTATAGAAAAAATTAAACATTTATATATTTTTTATCTTTTAGTCTTCTGTAATTATTCACATGAATGAAGAAAATTCTAAGTATTGTAACGAAACATGGGTAGGCATGGATGCCAGTCTAATTCATAAATTATCAACACTTGCATGGACCAATCAGCCTTTGCGGTGTGCTTTGTGCGTGCACTGTTAGTTCACTGGAATGTCGTATTGTCCTAGCATCGCTGAACGATGTGTGGAGCGCTGCGTCTGGACACACAGCGACAACCGGTAGGTGTAGTACATGAAGTGAGCTGCATTACATGTAGGTCTAGAATAGTTAAAATGATAGAGCTGAGTGTACGTGGTGAACCTAGGCTGCGAGCTAGTGGTCTTTGCTGTTGGATTGCTTCTCGTCTGTAAGCACTTACATGTAGTGGGGTGACAGCTGGAAGGCAGTGTTGTCATTGTGTCATTGAGGCTCCTTTGATGAGCTCAGATCGCTGTGACGGTAATTAACCTTTCGCTTAATTGACCCTGACTCTCTTGACACTGTGTTGTGTGAGGACTATCGCTACTTCCCAGTAGCGAAGTATCCCTCGGGTTATAGAGTGGCTGTGCTAAAGCTAGTTTGGTGGTTAGGTTTACCACACGAAGCGGATCACATTGCCTGTTGAGGTGTATTAAGTAAATAACCTTGTGATTTACCTTGCGTCAAACAAATGGCCTCAACGCCCTAGTCGTTTTTTGCTAATTTTTAATTACAAAAATATTTTACTGCCAAATGTAATCAACTCCCGTTTTTGCCTACCTCTGATCGTGCTGAACAGCCCAGTTTAGTCCCCTTCAACGTTGGGGATTCCCCTTAGCCAGAAAAAAAGTTCAAGTCTCTGGCCAGGTCCCAAGGGAATGAGTATAAACATGGTACGTGGCCCTATGGGAATTTTTACACCGCTGAAGCCAAGACTTGGTAGGGCTCTCCAGGGCCTGTCCTATATCATGTCTGGCAGGCCAGTGGCACTCTCTGATGTGTCAGAGTCATTGACTGGCTGTTGGGGGACGACAGCTGGGGCTTGGCAGTGGATAAATGGCGGAAGCTTAATCCCTAAGGACCTTCCCTTCAAACTCGGCAGGACTGGAAACAAAGGTACCTCGGCCTGGACTCTCTGCGGTTTTTGATATTTGTGCGGGCTAGAAGACACCTACGGAGCAATATAAATGCCTTTGAAAAAATGTGAAAAAAAAACACCGTGGCCGTTTCACCTTTTACGTAACAAAACTGTGTAAACGCCTCCCAAGGTTTATTATTGCAATAAACCAAGTACTTGATTAATTGTCCTTGGAAATCCTGCCACTGCGAGGCTGATTTATGTTTCCCTTCATTTAATTGCTCTATTGCCAGATAGATCTTGTCTTTCCTGAGTGATGGTAAACTTCCACCCTACGAACTGCTCCCAGGCATAGTCCGCCGTTCGTTAACTGATACCCCCCTTGCATTTTGATAGCCACTAATTCTTGCATAAGGTTAAATAAATATATTGGTGGGGTTAATTCCAGGTCGATTACCTCTACCTTCAGGCCTATTAGTATGATGGAAAATTCGTAGCCGATGAATAATAGTTACATCCATTCAATTGTGTTTTTAGGCTGATACTTTCAATTGGCGAGAATGCAACGGAGAAAGCTTTTTCTTGGTGGAGTGTCTTTGATAAGCACTTGCCAATCTTCTTCTTCTTGTTTTGTTTTAATGGCGCTCTCAGCAACTCGGGCTGTTTTCGCCAATAACTGTCCGTTATTCATACACTTTATTAATCAGTATCACATTACGGAGTTAGGAAGAAGGTCCAGTTTTAGAGGCAGGAGGAAACCGAAGTACCCGGGGAAAACCTGCAAGAGCGAGCATGGACTGGAAACCAAAAGCACTTTATAAAGCCTGGGCCAAGCGGGACTCGAACCCTGGCCTCATAAGATCATTGGTGCAAAGCGAGGAAAGAAACCGCTACGCTAACCCGCTCCCCCTTTGCCAATCTTGCCCGATCCGTCGTCTTTTAAATGGTACTGACCTGGGAAGGGTGGAACTTATCCTGAAGAAATGGTAAACACTCAAGCAAACCTGTTAGGCCCCTACTTGTATATACATAATAAAAATGAAAAGGAATTCAAAATTGTTCCGTCACCACCCTGTCAATCTCTTAGACTTGGTCCCAAGTCAGTATTATTTGGTGTGGTCAAAATTGTTCTCTTTGCGATCCGCGTGTGCGCGTACACCTGCTGAGATGTACACGTTACAAGTGTATTCCTTTTGGAAGAGACGAATACGTTGGTTGCCCCGCCCCAACGAGCGGATGATCGAGCAGAAGTCGGAGCTCGGCCAATGACATTACTGGTCTTAGACTAGGGCTGCCGAAATGGATTTCGACTGAAGTTCACAGACGAAACACTATGACGATTTGTCATCAAGTCTACCAATCTCTAGACTTTCGTCAGGACATGGCGAATCTGGTGTAAGACAGAGGTGCTATTACATAAACCTTTTGAGACTGTTTCAGCCTCAACTCTACCAAGATAATCAATGTACAACTGTTTCAGAAAATTCTGCCAAGACTTTTTCCTTTGAGGTGTTGAGCAGCGAAGTTTCCAAATTGATGGACATCGGAATAAGTGCTTTCAAGATAAGTTTTCAAGTTAACTTTATATTTTCCATATGCGTTTTTGAAAGTGAATAGAGGTGCCATGCAAGATTGTTGAAATACATTCTTTTTCCTATCAAGTTGTACATTTACCTTTCCATTATGAATTTCATGTGTAATACTTTTACAGTGTATACGTGATGATCCATATCTCTGTTTCATGTCAAGCCTATGGTGTACTTTCTTTTCGAGATTTGCGTCAAAAGTGACAATATGCGTAACGCATGTTTTCACTCATTAACATGCATAAAATTATTTATATAGACATATTGTTGATAAGTTATTCTATTGCGTATCAATCGAGCATTCCGGGGGATTGCCCCCTTTGAAACATACTCCTGAAAAGCTGAGTGTGAATAAAGTGAATGACTCCACCCGATGGTTCTAAATGTCCAAGACTTTGCGAGCCAATAGTCCCAAAACCGTATATCGGACTAGGTTGAAACGTTGCGGCTCAGACACAAACCAACAAGTTTTCTATGCATGTCAGAATAAGAGGGCCGTCACGATGACGGCATCACCTGAATTGTAATGATTTTTAAAATAATTTTTCTATTTCTTTTTCTAAATTTTCCATTCTTTCCAACGGAAGGTATTTCTAAACCCCTTTTTGGAATACCCAGTGGTGATGGTCTTGGATATGCTTTGTGCTCGAGAAATGCTAGTGACGCCATGATGACATCACAAAATGGCGATATTTAAAACACACTGAGTTTTTATTTTACCGAAAAAAGATGCGTTCGTTGCTCATTCCTGGGTTACGAACCCCGTCCTTGTACATGTATCACGTTAAGGCTGGAGAGAACAGCAACAAACTCCCTCCTGATGTCAGCGCAGAGGTAGCTAGAGGACAGCTTCATGAAGGGTCTGCGAAGTGGGATTTTCTTGGTAAAGCTCTAAATTGAATTCATTTTGAGAATTTGTTTCGCGTTTACATGATATGTTAACACAAGATAAAGTTTAGAGTTTCTGTCTTCTACATGAAAACTATAATAATAGGCCTACACGTAGTAGTAAAACCGTGTTTCTGAAGACATTGCTTTATTTTCCAATTTACTTATGTGAATTTACATTGATGACTTTACATATTTGTTAACACCTGTGACATTTGACTTTACTATTGTAAATGTGAACTTTGGCTTTTCAATAAGCTCAGCTGCACCACTAAATAAGCACGGCATTTGCAGCATTATAAGTTTATTGCTGGAATCGGGTATCAAAATTTATTCGGAAAGAAGTACTTTCTGCACTTGATTTCGATTAAAAATAATTACATATGCTTGCTTATGAATATTTTTGAGTCCATATCTCTTCCAAAATCAGTTACATGTACAGAGATTTAAATAATGACATTTAACATCATAAATCTAAAGATGTAACACTGGAAAACCTATACACATATTCTATAGGATGTTACATATATTCAGAGAGTAAATATGATTTAAAGAGATTTTTACTCTAAATGTATGGATGTGTATATTGTCCTATTGCCTTCCTATCAGAATAAACTACATTTACAATAAAAAAAATCACTCTTAACCGTGGTCAAGAGTGATTGAAATTCAAGGATTTTTAGTGACTATTCAGTGACCAGACTAATACATTCGCTGTTTGCTATTTAGTTGATGGGCAAAACGTTCAAATCGTATACCGCCTGACAAGAATAAACAACTTTCTCAAACGGATCTATGTATTTGTATTCTTATTTCAGTATGCATTTCATTTCTTTTCATCATCTAAATCTCGAAGCTGCCTATGGCAACGTTTTTTACGCACTCGTCACGTCATTTTCGGGTGTTAACCTTCTGAGACACCATACAAGACCGACTGTGAGCACTAGTAAATGCAGCCGAAAATGAGTTTGAAACAGAACCCACAGCAATTTTAAACATTTATACGTCCACTGAGCTAAACCAAGCCTTTTACGATTTCTTTGACGGCTATCAAAGTGCCTAAATAACCCACTGGTCTTTAAACGTATGGGTCCATGCTCAGAAGCAGTCGTTCACCATTTTGTTCACCATGGCACACGCACAGTAAACGTGAAATCTGACGAGGCGAAAAGAAACTGTTTACCAAAGGAAAGGTTAGGAAATATTCAGTGCATATTCTGTTCCAATTGCTTTCTTGTTTAATTATTCTAACACATATTACCATGTGTTGCAACAATACAAACAAGATCCAAATATGTAATTGTTTTCTTTTCTTTTTTTTTCAATTCGCAGAAAAATACTTTAATCAATGTAATGCATGAGGGCGCTTATTTTAATACTGCCATGATATGAGGCACTCCTTATCAAAAGCCAAAAACCTTTTCCAAAAAAACAAAACAACCCCCCCCAACCAAAAAACAAAAAAAAACACAATCTTCATAATCACCAACAATATTGTGAAAAGCGAAAGTGCGATAATAATTAGACACGAAGTTATGGAAACATTCCTGTTCTGCCTGTGTATAGAATGACTTCACGCTATGGCACACGAATATGAAAATTTACCTGAGCACAAAATCAAAAATGTTTAAAATCCTCCATTTGACTTCTAAAAAGGAGGTTGAAAGTCATTTTAACATGTAAATAAAGCTACGCTTATATTACTTGGTCCTTATAATAGGAATTCATCACTAGGTCTGTACGTCGTAATTTGACAACACATCAGTTTCGGGTGATTAAAAATCATGGCAGAAATGTCTAATTCATTGATTTCAGTCTAACCGCGAGAGCAACCTAGATACCAAGAAAATCAGTGATTTTAAAGTTGTGTTAATTTCCAACCTCAAAATACATATTCAGTTTATTTTATTAAGAATTCTTTAAAAAACATGAGCACAGAAGCATTATTGCAAATCAAGAAAAAAAAACCCAAAACAAAACAAAAACATAATCACAATCACAAAAAAATCCTTTCCCTGCGACAGAAACAGATCATAAAGTGTGAAATTTTGCAATCTTATAATTTTGGTCGTTTTCAGTTATATTGCTGAAATAGTTATTCAAGCAAATTTAAACGTCACATATTGCGTAGTCTACGTTTACAACAGAAATGTATGCTCCATGTTACTACACTGAAATGTCCTCACGTCAAATTTGAGCACCCCGAATCCCCATTTGTCTCGACATAATACACTATTACCACAAAATACATAAATATACGCAAAATTATCTCCAATTTCATAGGAAAAACTCAATTGAGGACAAGACCATACTGACTGACAAAGTAATAACCAAAACAACAAAGAAAAACAGAAAAAGAAAAAAATACAAATCGCTAATATTTCATCGGACGTGACTTCATTAAATCTGATGCAGCAGTAAGTTATAAAAACTAAAACACACTTTCAGTAACAGCAAAGGAGTGTACCATTAGATCGAACCGTTTTCCACCTGCACGGTGCAGCTTTTGATAAGCAGGATTTTGAACTGGCCCGATGTTAACAGTTGAGGCTTATTCATTTTAGAACTTCGTAAATTACATCGGCATGCTACAAACGATGCCCGTCGTTTCCAAGACTGGCCGCAGTGGCTGAAATCGTTCAGGGCCTCTCTGTGACTATCTCCCGTCACCAATCCCTCATTCGTCACGGACTAGCGAAGTAAACACGCCATCCTCGTCTGTTAGGAGTTCCTCAGGGCTACCAAACTCCACCATACGACCCCCGTCCAAGACGATAATCTTGTCAGCGTCTCGGATGGTTGCTATGCGGTGCTTTTAGAAAACAAACAAAAATCAACAGCTTGAATATTTGTATCAAGAACGGGGGGGGCAGGAAGATTATTTTTCTGAATTACTTTAAACGTATTTTTGTGGACGAATTATTTATTTCGAGAACGAATGTGTAATTCTTGCCTACAAAAACGTGTCCATTATATTTTTTACCCATGATAAATCACATGTTTAATTATTTGTGAGAACAATTCGGTAATTTGTGTGAACGACTTAATAATTCGTTCGAACTTTTAATAATTGGGGAACTAGGGCCGTCCATAAAGTACATAAGCACGAGATATCGACTTTTTAGACCCCTCCCCCTGTACGCATGGCGTAAGCAGTGACTCCGCCCCCCCCCTACGCATACGCATTCTTTTGACTTCTCAGGGTACCTTGCTTTGGCGTCATTAAATGTCACAGTACATTTCACATCTACAGCACGTCGCTTCCAAATTACTAAATAAATGACGAAAGTAATGACAGTTTTCTCTATCGGTATTTCTTTATTAACGGCCGTGGACAATTTCATACTTGGCAGCTCAAAAAAAGATGTTTTTGAATTAAAAATTATGCACATAGAGGGCACCTGTACGTTCCAGAAGACACTGCCGTTCTTTGTGTCATGAGTAATGTTGCGGTTTACCAATAATTGGCGTTAACCGGTAGGATAAATGGTGGGGTGGACGGTGGAGGATACTGTGTTTGAATGGTTTTTCGACGCACAGAAGCTAATTCTGGTATTTATTTGTATGAGTAAGTGTATTGATATGATGCTGATTCATTACGCAACGGTATACAAACCCTGCCCCCCGTTCTGCGTACGTACTTTACGGACGGCCCTTATTCGTTTGGACAAATTCGAAAAAAAAATTCCATCCTCCCCCATGCAAGGCTCCATCAATATCCGTGTGTGACATCAATAATGTTTGTGTTTAGTGTTCTTGTGGTTTTCTCCGAAATATAAAACTAATGTGGCTGCTTTTACTGTAGGAGAAGGTTTACTTTCAAAATCCAGAAACATATATAGACCTTAATAAATGTGCCTGATCGAGCAAACACTGCTTTGACTGTCTTCAAAGGAAGACAGATCTCTAGATCTGTGATTTGACATCTGTTTGTGATTCCATTACTTTTCTGTCACCCTTGTATCCTCTATGCATAAAGTTTTATGATAAATAGCATACTTACTGCAATAGTTAATACGGTTCTTTCTGCAAATGCATTGGCAACAACGGTCTGTAACGTCTTGTCCTGGAAAGGATCATGTAAACCAGTCCAGTTAGTTTTAGACACTGAGACAAAGGTTAACTGAAAGGTCTACAATGTTGTGAACACTCTATTCCTTTAAATCTAGCTTTAGAACGACCTCACATAGCCTTCGTACCTTTGTATATATCTTTGACAAATTATTCATCAAGCTTTTTTCTTGATTACCCATCTCTTGACTTTTTAAGTACTCTATCTTAATTTGCACACAGAACCTATGAAAGGTATCGCGTGAAATGAGGACAATTGCTATTTACAGAATGACTGAAACGGAAGTGTATAGCTTCATTTAGGGTAACAGGAATTTTAATGACGAAAAACACGTTCAATCTACGTTGTTTATTATCTGCATTGTGGACTATGTTTCGTTGAGGATAAGCACAGGCGCTTAATGCCGGAAGTTAAAAGACAATTAGCCTAACTATTTTCAGAAAAGGCAATAAGTTACCGTTTCCATGTCTACTGAAGCTGTGGCTTCGTCCATGATGAGGATGTAAGACTTTCTGAGGAAGGCTCGAGCCAGGCAGAACAGCTGCCGCTGACCAACGCTGAAATTCTCACCGCCTTCAGTCACCACTGCATCTGTGGTGAGGATTTAAAGCACGTCAAATATACATGGATAAGCCGATCAAGGGAAGACAATTTTAATTTCTGTTTCTACTGGACTAACATCACTACAGAAGCATAGCATAACAACATTTACGATATGTTTACGGCAAGGGCAGATCTAAGGGGCCATGCTCCCCCTCAAAAAAAATGAGAGCATTTTTTTCAAAAATTATGAAATAAAGACGATTTGATTTGGTTTATTTCATTCCCCTTCCCCTCCAAAACGCCGCAACATATAGCCTCAACCACTAGAAAGGTCATTAAAGATTAATTGAAAAAACTTTCTAAATTCCCCACCGACCCCCCAAAATCACTAAGTTTTCTCTTCCTCAAAATTTGGTTGCAGATCTGCCCTTGGCTTATAGGATGTATAAGGCAGCAAAAACAAAGGGAAAACTTAGCTTGGCACATGTTTCTCGTCTAGTTTTAGTTCCCTGTTTGTTGCTACCACGGACAAGGCGCCACAAACGACTATGAAATACGTGCATTGTCGTTGCATCATTACCAACGAACATCCCAACCAACATGGCTCTTTTTCAACCGACAAGGTGATGCTTCTGCTCAAGGTGAATACCTTTTGGAGGCTTTTCACGATTTCTAAGGTTTAAGTCTCTTCCTGATACGGGGGATTTCTTCACAATAGTCTGTTTTAATATGCCAATTTTGACAGTAGTCTGAGAGTAAGGCCTTCATCCTGCCTCTTAACTGCTTTCAAATGAATTTAGCAGACAAACTCCCAATCTTCAACTTACCAAGTCCCCCGTCTAGCTGTGAGACAACATCTTTCAGCTGTGCAATCTCAAGGGCGTGCCACATTTCGTCGTCTGATACCTTTTCTTCGGGGTCCAAATTTGTCCTTTCAGAAACAAAAAAAAAATTTGTAACAATGATGAAACATATGGTCTGGGAAAAACCAATGGGTGCCACGCCCCTAAAAAATAGCAGAATACAATTAAGTGCAGCAACATTGTGCCGTTGTCCATTATCAATTACAAAACCATATCCATTGTTTCTTTCTGCCAGGGTATACACAATGGATACCAGATGTTAAAAATGATTTACCATTACGCAATGCACTCTGACATTTGTGAAGTAACACAAATGAATCCATCCTCAGAAATACCAAACTTCCCGTTCAAATTTGAAAGAACCCTAAATATCTTATAGGAAGCATGAAAAATACAAAGGGTTGATGACCATGAACGTATATTACCTAATAGGTCCAGTAAACAGCACTGGGTCTTGAGGGATGATAGATATTTTGCTCCTGAGTGTAGCCAGAGGTACATCCATGATATTCACACCGTCAATGAATATCCGCCCTGAGGGAAATAGAATAACAAAAACTCTAATATGCCAACTAAAGCTCATATTCGTACTACATCCAAGGTTATTCACGGATATAAAAGTGGTACGATTTCATTCATTATCATTCAATTTTATCTAAACTGTTAATAGCTTTTAAGGACAGTAATCGTAGCTGTAGCAAAACTATTCGGCAAGTCCTTCCGTATGAAAGGAAGGATGGCGCTATGAGCAAACGCTGCATAATAAAGGCAACAAACTGTCAAAATGTCGTGAAATAAATACCTTTCAATGGGGCCTACCACTGATACAAGCGTTCACGACGATGTGTCACAGGTCATTAACGCTGGACAACACCTAAATTGCTGATAGACAGTCTGCGTACAGTGCAATCTACTCATTACTTATGACAAGATACCTTCAAAGATATCAATGACTCTCAGCAATGCCAGGGTCAGGGACGACTTGCCACTTCCAGTTCGGCCACAGATACCGACCTGGAAAAAAGGAACCAAACACAATTGTTAGCCTTCTCCGACTTGGGGACGAGGAGATCGCTAATTACAAGACGGGCTAAGTATTCGCTATACTTCTCCCCACCTTCTCCCCTGATTTCAGGTACACTGACACATTCCTGAGCACAGCTTCAAGATCTTCTGCATATCGGACTGAGACATTGTCGATGCGTATCTCTCCACTGTGAGGCCATCCGGCTGAAGGTTCGGCACCTGATTTGAATGAAAACAAACAATCAAACGGCGTAAGTCAGGATGTCATGGAGAACTTGGACGGCGCAAATTTATTGTCCATGTATGAAACTTAAAAAAATATATGAACACCACTGATCAGCACCAGGTATCGTTATTATAGCAAAGCTACAAATCTTTTGAAAGGTATGGAGTTTACATCCATTTTGCGACTCAACTGTGACTGTTTTCGGTCCAACATGTACCGAAAATGTTCAGATTTCTCCTTCAAAGAACAAGGTTGTTCTATATTCCTTTGAAACAAAACTGTATTGATAGCTGTTTCAGAAAAAGATTTGATATTAAGATTAAGATTATTCACGCCCTATTCGAAAGGATAGTCACAGGAGTCTGTTCTATACAGGAGCTAAACTGAAAAATATGGTGAGAAAAAAAAAGCATTTGAGCAGTCGCTTAGCTTCTAACCAAAAGTTTTGGATTAGGCCTAGGTCGTACAACCAAGGCATTAAAGAAATTACGTCTTCACTGATTGCGCGAAACGGTGAATATGCCCACTTAAAAAGAGTGATGACTTAAACAACAAGAGTTAAAGAAACATGCGATCATCTTGCCTGAATATTCCTCCTGGTCCACCTCACTGTAGAACTGAATTCGCTCCACGGCGTTCATCTGCATCTCCACCTCAGTCCGATTTCTCATAAGGTAGTTGAGATAGTTAGACATCTGCAAAATGACGGAAATTTTAAGTTTCATTAGGTTTGCCCTGATAAATGCTTCAAGAGGACTCCAGATTTCAGAAGGGTTTTCTGAATGAGCTTCATACGTCGTGTTTTATACACAACCATGTTACATAAACAATGAGGGGAGGAAAATATAATTAAAGGACGGGTCAAAGTGATCACGAATTGAATTGCTTGAAAAGAAATCATGGTGAATACATAAAAACAAACTTTTTCGCAAGTTTAAAGTAGCAAAACAAATAAAACTGGCAGACCATACCGCCAGAAAACATTTACATTTACAACAAATCGAGTATAAAGATGCACGCTCATGCAATCATACAAAATAAGCCAGTTTGGGTGCATACAATGATTAATCCTGGTCGTATTTACCTGCAGGCTGTACGTAGAGCTCAGACCCACTAAGCTTGGATTGATACCAAACGAGAGAGCGCCAATTAAAGTGGATCCAGTTGACAGAAGCACAAACAAAGCTCCCAGGAGGTCCTGAGATAGAGTAACGATGAGAAAACTGAAACTTGATACGCAAGTAAGCATTTAAAAGATTGATAAAGCAATGATGTATCATCGCTGCGCGCCGCATACGTAACAAGAATTGCTGTTTCAATTTGACATACCTAGCAGATATCCGGTTCGTAAGTGACTTTGTCATACGCGCGGACGCACTACTGATTGCAGGCTCCCATTGGACGTACACTAAAGTTGCGAGTTCACTTCCGATTCAATGGTACCATGTAACTCTATGTACTGTGGGCGTGGTTAAAACTGAAGTGACGTCACACTTACGAACCGGATTGGGACCAGAAAAGGACCAGCTGTTCTTGACCCTAACCCTCCTCAATCCTCCAACAGGTGAAGGATTGAGGAGGGTTAGGGTTAATGAATACATAGGTGTTGAATGAAACAATATTGTAGTCCAGTACTTTTCGAGTACCACGTTCAATATAACGTGTGAAGAGGGAGTTAGCTAAAGAACACATGCATTTCATGGTACACGTACCAATGTAGGATTACCAAGTTAAATGATGACTTAAGACCATCATTGTTTCATAAAAATCCAGTGTTCCTATCTCCTCAAAACTAATATTTTACAAAACTGCAGTGTCTGAAGTCTTAAAATTTATTTCATATTGTTACCATGGTGACTCTACAATCACATGTCCTTGTACTTCAGCTTCATTCTGCCCTGACCAGTTCAATATTAAGCGCAGAACCTTGGTACTCGAACACTTTATCTAACCCTATGTTTGTGTGGTTTCCGTGTTTGTTGTTTCTTTGTTTGGCCACAGATGATCTTTGTCTACAGGTGAAACCTTCGGTAATAATTATCTTTATGACATCCTTACCATCCGTATTCTGCACACCCAACCTTTCATTTGCAGTGATGCAGATTTATTTATGGTAACCAATGCCAGCCCGTGCTTCAAAATGTAATGAGACAAGTAACACAATAAGCTTGACTCAAGCAGGATTTGTTTCTCAGGATAAAAACACTTACGAGCCGAACTGCCAGCCATCTCGCCCCAATCTGAACATAAAGAAATGCTGCAGTGTTTCTGTCGATTCGAGCGAGGATGGTATTGTAAAATCTATTCTCGCTCCTGCGAGAAAGAAAAAGGAAATACGAATATAATAGGTGGCGATTCAGTTAACAATTCTGGGGAGCGGCTTCGTTTGGAATTCGAAATTTTAAATTTGCTGAAAATTTCAAAATCTGTACAGCGGAATTTGGGACTCAACAATACACTATCTAAAGCAAAATAAGCAGTTCCACTTATGGACATGTGTATATAGTAAGTTAACCTACTACTGTAAGTTATTGTACTAATTTACTCAATTATATATTCAAGTAAATAATAAAAAGAGCGAGACCACGAGCTCGTACCTGTAAGCTCGAATTGTAGTCAGTCCGCCGAGACTCTCTGAGAAGTAGGCAAAGACGGGAGATTTGCTGGTGCTGTCCAATCGTTGTAGCTCCCTGGGTACAAAAGATACATAGTGCAATTACTAATGGTTGGGGAGGTTCCTAACAGTGGCGACGAAGGCGGGAGTTAAGCCACTTCCCATTTCGGTGCTGTTCTCCATAATCCGCCGTAAAACCTATAAATGCTGTGTCCTGCTTGTTAAGCAAAACCCAGAGAATTTGCAACTAAATTGGCTATCTGTCAAGGACCCTATCCTCCAACGCCTTTCACTACTTGATCAAACTCACAAGGAATCCTATGGCTGTTTAAACCATTTGCTATCTTAAGAAATACTGGCGAAAATGTCTTGTATCCCGGCTTTGGCAAGGGCGACTTGAAGGCTTTGACTCTATATAGCGTCCTCGATGTGCCGCGCTAAATAACTGACACCATTTAGTAATGGAGCAAAATTGGAACTAGCTCACTGACACGGTCAAGCTTCGCGTAAGTTAGTATTTTCAAGAGACCATCGCCACCAGAATAAATATCAGGCCTATGACATATGCGGCTATTTGGTGACTGCAGTTCAGGGGAGGTAGAAGTAGGCCGTGCAGACACACTGTTCAGGAAAATAGTTCAGGAAATGCTTCAGGAAAATAATTGTAACTTACCTGGAGGTGGCCAAGTAGTACCTCTGCAGTATGTAATACACAATGGCTATTGGGATGACGAACACAAGGAAGATGGGCATGACCACGCCCACTACAACCACGGACACTATAATCTGCATGATGCTGATGACGAACCCGTTGTATGTGTTCGCTAGTCTCTGATTTAAGAGAGTGAGAGCAAACACATTGAAAAATGTCATGTTGAATCTGTGACGTCACTCGTATCGAATCCACTGAGCGAGATTTTTGTACCTTCAACTTTAGAGTTAATTTCTTTTAGCGAGGCCTGAACTTAAAAACAATGCTTTAAAAGGTTTTTGTTTCTTAATTTATCTACTTAAGCACCAATAAAGCCAATGCTGAGGTCGTGACCACCTAGGGTTTCATGGAAAAATAGCTTCAGTGTAATATATCTAGCATGATTAACGTAATGTGTTTAATGGAATCTTCAGTCTGACAAGACCCAACATTGATTGATCAAAGAAACCGTTTAGAAGTCTGTTCCATTTATTTTCTGTCCTCTTTTTATCGTTCATCGGATCATATTGGAGCCAGTTCGCTTTTCTGCTACCACCAGTTTGCTCATTCTAAAGCAAAAAATGCGTTGTCATTTCGGGGAAAAACCCACTGTTACCTCAACATGTATAGTTGGAACAAGTTCCGCACGGATTTACCAATAGATGGAATGTTTTGCTCTCTCTGACAGTTTTTCCATTTCTTTGAGAATTTGTTGCTATTTCTGAATATAAACGAGTACGCCCATGAGCAAAGTCTTTTTTAGAAATATTTGGGTGAACAATTCTTGGGGATGACGATTTGAACATTCAAGTACTCTACAACGCACAGTGCGGTTTTGAAACGACATCACATCACCAGCGCCTAATCTTAATTGCCAGGGAAAAAAGTTCACAAATGCACTCTTCAGGATAATTCACTGAAATGAGTGTTCAATAGTTTTCTGAATTCACACAAAGTGTATGTAAGTACATGTAAGGGAACCTTTGAACTTCAAAGAAAATGTTTCTGCTGAACAAAAAATACACATTTCCAGGTGCATGCCGACATTGTTTCAAAACTTAATGAACAGTAAAATAAAATATAAAGTGAAGGAATTATATCTGTTAAAATGCAGAACTTTGGAGTAAAAAAGAACAGTTGATTTGCATTTGTACATTTTTTGCACTTTCATACTCACAAAATCCATCAACTGGGTGTCATTAGAAAATCGATTCAGGATCCGCCCGATGAGAGTAGTATCAAAAAACCTAGTCAAAACAACCAAAAAAAATTGCATAAGAGCACAATTGAATATTGTTTTGCAGACGAAACATTAGTGAATAACTATTATTTTCGACCAATTCAGTGAGTGCAGCTTTGGAAATTGCAATTCATTTGCGCTGCTGAACGTTCCTGGACATTAAAGGTAGAGACTAACAAAAGAACTATGCTCGAAAACATACTGTACGACCTTATCAATAAATTGTCTGCAGAAATTAAGCTGCATTGCTCCGACAAGGTTCTAACTGATGCTTGTGGTTGAGATCACGGTAAGCCTGAAAATCCTCTTTAAAACTAGTCTGACTTCGAAAACACTAAAAGCCCGAAAGAAAACCCAGAAATTTCAATAGCATTGTGCCAAAATCATCAGGCACACACTCTAAGACAACCACGGTGAAGAACCAGTAGCAAAATCAAGCCCAGGTCAAGCCCATTACGAGTCTCAGTCACAAGTCCCATCACACGACAATTTACAAATAACAGTGTGGACAACGACAACGGAATGCCTTTGTTGAGGCTCAGTTTCATTATAATCTGAATAACTCGCGACTTGAGTAGACTGGATCACGTCTGATGGACGTGTGATGGAATTGCAACAAGCGATTGCGGACTCATCTACACCTTAGAGACAATATACATGTACATGGATAGATGAATAGAGAGAGAAAGAGAGACAGACAGACAGACAGACAGATACGAAGATCAAATATGTATGTGAAATGATAAAGCATTATGCATGTCTAAGAATCATAACGTATTTGCATTAAAATTGTCCACAGGTTGGTCTTTAACTGTGAAGTCGATAATACCATTTGGTACCATTCACTGACCTTCCTGACTGAAGAACCCCTCAAATAGCATGGATAAAGGTAGCAACTAAGTACAGGTACGAACATTAATCTGAGAGGCACAATTTGTCTAGTACCTCATCGGTGCTCGTATAATATTCCTCAGCATTCTCAGGTGTATGCGCCTTGCAGCGACCATGAATGACAGAATCAAAATTGTAGCCGACAGCGATTGACTCACTGCTGCTGAGACGGACAGGCATGCGTAGCCAACAAGATACTCGGTGTAAGTTCTTGTAGTCTGGAAATAAAAAGAACAGCAAATTTAATGTTTCAAATCTTATATTTTGGAAATGCAAGTGCTTTACGTTAAATGTAATGATTTCAAGAAATTGAATCAGTTTCATTTTTTTGGTTTGAAAAGATTTATCTCTAACCTCGTTGGATAAGCCAGCTTCAGACCACTCAGAGAGCCAGAAGTTGTTGGTAACAGAGAGTGACGACTGTAGTGCCACAGCCAGCGCGACTAAGAGGATTAAACCCCAGCCAACGCTCCCCAGCAGGTACAGGTATGTCTTGTAAGACACCGATCCACGCACCATTTCTTCCTTCTCTATCAGCTGCCCATCCCCTTTTGCAATTTCTTGAGATGGAACACACAAACAGGCATGCAAGGCAAATTACACTTTGCTTCAAGGGGAATGTTTCAGGTTCATGACAGCGTTCCCATTTCATGATAGCGGGGAGGATATGATAATGACCTAAAATGAATGAGAGATTTTCGTCTCTAAAACACTCGTGCGTTTGGCAATGTGTCTTTTATCACACATTGGTAACACATTTTTTTAAATCCAAATAAAATAAACACAACGTCATTGTATTGGTGAAAGTTTAATGGAAATTTCACTCATCTTATTTACAACTACAGCTGAGGGTCCATTACGCTGTTACAGCTAATTGGCCACTGAGAATAAAAATGAACATAACCTTTTTGCAAATCAGAAAGCTTAATTGACAAGCAGAACGAACCAGCTGATGCAATGGAAACTCTTCGTTGCAACTTAAAGCGCTCTTCTTCTGCACTTTCGGCCTGATCATCATCCCATCCCGCCGCTGACACCTGTTTGATCTCCTCATACATCTCCGGATCTGCCTTGATGATGTCGTCCAAACTCCCACTAGCGGCAATGGTGCCATCTTTTATCTCAAGTATCTTAGAGAATGTAATACATGTACATGATAAATGCCTTTATAATGCTACCCGGAGAAACGATGATATACCACAAAAACAAAGGTCAAGCTTTTCTATGTCGATCATTGAGGGGGCAAATAGATTGCCAACAATCTGTCTTTTCCAAAGTAGAAAGAAATTGTGTAGTTTCAGATATTCTTTCCAATTTGTCAGCATTCAAAATTTCTAGTTGCTGCATACAAAACAGCTAACGTTCGAATAACCTACTGATTTCTTTCCTTTTAAAAAAAAGGCGAAATGAATAACGCAGGAGCAATACTGCTCCTGGTGGTGCATGTTTCACCCTATGTTAGGTCTAGCTTGAATTTTTGTGAGGGTTTGCAGCTAAAGTTAGACATATTGTACTGCCAAACTCTTACCAAGTCAGCTCTACTGAGATACTGCAGCTGGTGGGTCACCAGAATGACGGTTTTGTTGTTACTGACGAGTTGTTTCATGATGCCTTCTTCGAACAGTTGACGGCCGACGTGAACGTCCAACGCCGAAAGCGGGTCGTCCTGAAATTTAAAATTCTCGCGAGTTAGCAAAACAAGAATGAGCGTTTCCACGGAAATAAAGTATTATGTAATAACAGACACCTGGGATCTTCTGTTGGCTCATTGCCTAGAATTAAAACAACAAATGACCCCCCGCAGGGGACTGCCATTACTGTTAACAAACTATTTCTAAATTCAACGAATTGAATCGATTTACCAATATGATGATGTCGCTGTCCGCGTACACGGCTCGCGCTACACTAACACGTTGCTTTTGACCTCCGCTCAAGTTGATACCTTTCTCGCCAATCTCAGTCTTGTCTCCGGCCGGTAAAATGTCAATGTCTGGTACAAGTGCACACGCATCTAACACTTTGTGATATCTGTACAATGGGGAAGGGGGCGACAATTTCCCATAAAACAATTTCATTGAAGGAACTTCAACAACATGAAGCGAGTATTTCTTGAATTTTCCAAAAGCCCTGATTATTTGATATCAAGGCCTTCCGTTCTCCATGTACCCTTCTTTCACATTTTATCATCGGAAAAATACTAGTTATACATGATTTGTTTGTAAGCTATAACATAAGTAAGGTCGTGCTCGACGGATAGGAAGAATGTCAAGTACCTCATCATCCGTCATCATATTGATGGCTTCACCCCAACCCCTGGGTGTATGTAAAACCATATTAAAATCGGAGGATTTGGGACTGTTATGGTTATTAACCTATTCACATTGGTGATCAAAAATGGTCCGGAACACCAGCACAACTATTTTCAAGAAAATATCGAATTCAAAGTAAAACATTCATAGTGAAAAGTCCACACATACCGTTTTTTGTCCATCTTTGATGAAAATAAAATGTTGTCTCGCATGGAAGCATTCATTAGCCAAGGTTTCTGAGCTGCGAATGCAATACGCCCTTTCTCTCTAAGACGTAAATAAAAAAGAATGTCATCTTGGTTAAAAAACTACGTATCCAATTTACCAAAAATTGACCGGTTAACTCTGCATACATTCATAAAGCAGTTTTAAGTAAATGTGTAGTCATGATTTTGAAATGAAATTTTAAGAAATTTTCCTCATTCGTCATATATTACTTTTAAAATGTATTCAAAAGGTCTGCTTTTAGAACATTTTTTATAGAATCAAAGCATTAAGGCTGACATTATCTCCACTAAGACGGTAACGTTCCGCTACCACAATCGAAAGTGGAAGCTAAGAACTGATAAAAGTTGAAGAATGTCTTGTCGAAAATTTAACCAATGATAAACCAATGAATGATATCATTCAAATGCACATGTACTTACTCATTGATGTGAACATTTCCAGAGAGTGTCGTCATTTCGTTTAAGATGGCAGCTAAAAGCGATGACTTTCCGCTTCCAACCGCGCCAATCACCATGGTCAGTTTCCCTGTGTAACGAATTCAACGTCATCGGAGAGCTTTACAAAGACATGCCTACACGTGATGGGTCCACACTGAACCTCTCGTGAAACTAATACCATGGGAGGAATATTAAAATCCGTTTTAAGTACAGAACCTCCGCTTTCATATAGTTTGGTAAACTTCTCGTTGAGTTTGATTACAGTGGCTGATTACCAGAAAATTCCGGAATGAGAGTTTCGTTTTAGTGCGTGGAATATAGGATGTCACGAGGCGAGGCTACAAGCAAGACTGGGTCCTTGTCTTCACAAAGATCCTTCGTAAACGTTGTGATAATGCACCTAGGAAACAAATGAATTGAAGACAAAATTGCCCCAGTGTGTCCTATTTGAAATTCCTCCCCTACTTACCAGCTGGTATTTCCACATTTACGTTAGACAAGGCAGGTGAAGTGCTTTCTGGATCCCACACAAAATTGCCATCCGTGATCTGCAATTTTAAATTGTAAAATTATGACATTTCAGTGTATTACACCATGTTTTGAACATATTTGCACCGTAATTTCGAAAACAAATAATTCTATATTTATAAACCCACAGGGTGTACATGGCTCTTGGTGAAACATTTTAAATAACAGCCCAAATTTTAGTGAAATGTATACTTTTTGGACCCAAATAAATATTCCATTCAGTGCTGTATAGTGTACTTTGCCTTCCATATTATTTGTAAATTGTCGCCAATTGGCAATAATGCCAACTTGAACCTGGGCAGGACTGCTAAAGGCAGTAATTTTTTCATTGACAACGATTTCAAAAAAGCTTTAAAAAGTGTTTAAAAAGTCTTGCATGCCAGCATATTCAGAACTCCTTGAAGGCTGACTCCCATTTTTCTGATTGTCTCCGAGTTCACGAAAATTACACATTTATCACGTTAAAGAGCGGAGGAGGTCTCGAACTGGGTCGTATATACAAAAATGCACACAAAACCTACTGTTCCAGCCCAAGTTTACACAGGGATTCAATAACAGTCTTACCAGATTCTACTTAATGTATTACAAATGTCTCATCAAACTTCCTTACCTTAATGGCTATGCCTTGGTCTGAATTGCTCGTTGAAGCGTCATTCAAATCTTTGCCCAGCGGGATCGAGATGCCATTCAGCATCAGCGCCCTCTCAGTGTTATCAGTCTGATCATCTGAGTCGTCAGTCTGAGTGCCAATGGAGACCGTTGACTCGCTCAATACCTCGTCCAACTTGCGAAACACTACCCGGCTTTCATCACTGTACCCCTGTAATCAGAATGCACAGTTACTCTATGATACAGGTCCTCCCTTCACAATTTGCATAATTATGATGGCAGAAGATGGCATAATTCAAGCATGATTTTTTTGTTGGGCCGCTCTCATGTAAACTATAATGCTAGAGGCCGCGTGATCCAAAAAATGATGGACCTGCCCGATGTGGGTTTTCCCGACAAAGAAACAACGCATAAGTATTTAGATATTACTTGCATTAGCTGCAGGTAGTTGTAATTTCAACACGAATGTCGTAAAGTGCACTTCACCAACTGCAGTGCATCGCATCACTCCTATAAGCCAGACAGTGATTCAAAAGTTTGCAGTGGCACACGCAAACCAAGACATGAAGATATCCCATTCAAATTTCAGAGGCTTAGAATAAAACCCTCCTTTAAGTTGTTTTATATGCTTCAGTTATTTTGCTGAAAGTTTTTATCGTTTTGAACTCATGAAAAATTGCAGGAACTGAATTCGGTTACTTTGTCCCTCAAAGACTTGCCTTGCGTTTATTTGCAGATGTTGCTCTTAAAACAAGAAAGTCAAATCTCGCGCACACACTAAGTTATATAGAATAACCATCTCATTTTCTGATTACATGTACATCCAATCATAACTCTAGCTTAATTACCTTTTTCTCCTGAGAGTGGGTTTTTCCTTTTATGTCCATTGGTAAAGCACGATCTCCCTCCACCTCAGGCGCCAAGAGAAATTTCATTATACGCTTGGAACTGACGATCGAGCCTACTATGGCCGACACCGATACAGGGATCATAAAGAGAGGGATCGCGATCAAATTGAAAAAGGACAGGGAGGAGAATGTGATATCGGGCGTCAACGGTCGTCCAGAAATCGGCTCAAATGTTATAAACGCCTGTGGAGCAAAGAAAATTTTGAAACTGTGAAACAAAATTCCCCTTCAAAAGATTAGAGCTGTCAAGGGGAAATAACTGTCAGGCATTCAATATTTTTCACCACTGTTTTAAGGATAACTTTTAAAAAATGCGCCTTTGTGAAGCTAAATCTTTCAACAATCAATTTTAATCGTTCATTTTTCTGCTTAAACGAGGAATCTTGTATTTAGGTGTTCACTGAGACAAGCTCCCATGAACAGCACATACAAACCATTACATTGAGTGATTCTATGTTATAACAAGTTTCTTAGCTTGCTAAACGACCTACAGAAGAAATGGATTTGGAAAACAAGCTTCCATGTGAGTTTCTTTTGTATTATGTGCTAGATCTCTGGGTTCAACAAAGAAAGGTAAATTCATGGCAGTCGAACACAGCCAACTTGCGGCAGATGTCCATGGCAATAAGCCGAGTTATCAACTAAGCAGCACTTTGAGAATCGGTGGATTAATTCCTTGCCATTCTGACATCTTTTCGTCTGAAATCTACTAGTAAAGAAACAAAAAGATGGTCGTTCAACTTACTATCAACGTGACCAAGATTGGGACGCCGAAAGTGATGGACACTAAAACAGAAAAGAAAAATCTAGGCTTTTAAGTAACAGACATATTTAGCGATTTAAATTATTTAGAAAGCCTTCAAGTTTTGTAATAAACTGTAATTTTTAAAGGTATTCTCAATTCCCAAAATAACTTTCCGCAAAATAAAGATCCTAAGTACAATCAATAATCATAGTAAATCGAGTAACATTCTGAAATCTTTTAAACTTTCGATAAAATCTGCGAAATGTTCCTAAAATTCAATGAAAGTTTAATGACCGTAGACAAAGGGGTAGGCCGTTTTCCCTTCAAACCTACTCAACGCGTCTTTGCAATTTTGCCAATAGATAGACCAATAAGCGCGTTCCATCAGTCTTACCCGAAGTTATTGTGCACAGATTGATGTAGAGTAAGTTGCGTACTTCTTCCTTCCGAACTACCTCTATTGCCTTGCTGTACAGCTCCTCCCACGCATACATCTTCAGTAGTTTAATTCCTTGCAGCAGCTCGTTGGTCAGCTTCAAACGTTTGTCGGAGCAACGCTGCAACGAGCATTGCATACCAGGAAATTACTCTGATGTGTATATATTGCTGTTCTGTGGTTGGTTCGTTTCAAAGACCCTTATCCCATCGAGACTCCTAGGTATCTGTTGTAATCTTGTCATTTATTCAGTTAAGCCACTCATATTGCAAGTCGCGTAATTTACGGTCACAGAGTCTTCCCCGTATTAAAACGAACGTAACTACAACAGAGAAGTAACATTGGGAGATTTGGTTTTCCGTCTTATGGTCTATTGGGAAGTTCCCAACAACCAAGGAAAAATCAGTTCGGGGCATTTCCATCTTTTTCCTTTGCTTTGTTTTTATACCAATTAAACAACTTACCAGAATAGCCTTCTGTTTGTCGGCCATAATAGCTGCAACTTTAAACTGAATCGGAAGAACGACTATGAACAAGGCCGCTCCAAGCAACGCCGAAAACCCAATTTCAAAATACAGTAAGATGAGGATGATCACAATCTGAAAAGAGAACCCAAATCCTTGGACGTCAGCGAAGAATATCGACATCAGTATACACATTAGAAAGATTAGAACCGTGCATGGTAAGTGAGGCATTTAGACGAGTGTTACTGATTGGCATAGCGCCGCGCGAGCTGACGAGATATTACCTGGAATGGAGCAGACCAAAGGAAGTGCATAAACTGCATCATCATCATGACGTTGGTGGCGTCAGCTGACATGTGGTTGGTAATTTGGCCCATGGTCATCTGGCCCCCAGTGGTAGCAAATGTGGCCAGTCGCAGAGCCTTCTTATAAACCACGCTCTGGTAAGGGAAAGAGGAAAAAGTAGAAGCCCCATATCTTCGGATGATATAAATGGCTTAACTCTCTGTCGCCCATCCTCCATGTACACTCTACCTCTTCATATGTCAGGAACAATTCGGAGTGGTCTTCTGAATATAAGTGGACTTTTAAAGGACATGGCAGGTGTTGTGCGCATGCGTTTTTGCTTTTCTACAGTTTAAGAATAATAGGTTCACTGTGTGCAATTTACATGTACGTGTACTATTAATTAATTAAATATACTTGTCTTCGTGTACGTGAGGTACTTAATGCAAACGTCGGGGGACCAGAGAAACGTGGCCCACCAAAGGTTTTGCGATCCTCTGGGAACGATTTAAGCATAGTCAAGACACAGAAAGAAAACAATAATAGGAAAATAAACGAGCGTAATAGAAGTTCGACATTTTTATAGCATTTTGCTGAAAACCCTCTCAACCAGAGCATGGCATTAGAACCAAACCCCTTTTGGGAAAAGTATAAAGATCTGCAAATGTAAGGGGCAAGTTTATCTATTAGAGGACATCACAATCCTTCAAATTCGGTTGGATGGAAAGGAAACTTAAATTTGATGATAAATCACGGACAATGCAGCTGACAGATTTACCTGGATTGCTGCTCGGACGTCCGCACTTAGCGTAAAGGCGAGTTTGAAATGGGCATTAAAAATGCACACCCTCATCGACAACACCACGAACATCGTCACAATCAGGACAAAGCCATTGGCAAAGAAATCGCCGAAAGTCACGTAATGAGGCGGAAGCTGAGAGAAAGAAATCGGGAGACAATCTTATTTTATTAGGAAGGAGATGCCTCTGTGTTTGTGCTAGTGTCTATTGCTGGCTTTTCAATGTCCCCTGTATAGAGCCAGCGGTGTAGTCGAGCCAACAAGTGAACTGAAACATGACAGAGTAGTGGGGAAACGGCCAAATAGCAAAAGGCCGAATAGCCAACGTCTTAGGCAAGGTTAAGCGTGAATGTATTGGTAAGTCACCCAGATGAAATAGGTACGCAAATATGTACTATATACAGCAAATACTTAGAAAGGACCCGGATTCCAGTCCACGTGCCCAAATACTTCGACATTTCCAGCAAATTGTTCCAAACAAACACTCGGATTCAGTCTCATAATCACAAGCACTATACATATAACACACTGTGTATTAAATGCAAGTTTGATTCCCAGTCTACCATCCCATTGTGTGGATTTACTGCAGTCGAAGCATTTTAAAAGACCTGACTTCAACCATACAGGAAGGATACAGGAGGAGATCGAACTGCCCGGGCTATAACATCTGGCCAATTACCGCTTTCTGGCAAGCCTGGTATGTCCATAGCTAGAGTGCGGCGAGCTTTAGCTTTCACAACCACGAAGCCCCTTTGTACCCAAGGATCGCTGCTGCAATTCTTCGCTGGTAATCTGCATCCTTAAGACTTTGTAATCTGAGGTATTGGAAATTGAATATTCATGCCTTTGTCGGTGCTCGGTATGATCTCATGACAACATCCAATTTAATGCGCGGTTGCTTGTATTACGCTGTGTGCCCTAAATCTACATGTAGATGTACAGTCATTGCCCTTAATGAACGTTTCCTCTGGAGTTATTTTGGGAATAAATAGCCCAGTTGTTTACAAGATTTTGTGTTCTTTTTTTTACGCCATTTGTATAAAAGCGTATTTTACGAGATTTCATGACCACTCCCTGTAATGAAATAGCGCATTTTGTTCCTTATGAACTTCGCTTTCCAGCAGTAGTCAACATTTAGTTGGCCAGTCTTAGCCAAATTCGTACCAAGTCTTTGAAAACTGATGTATTGGAGAGCGGGGAGTAAAATTACAAACTTTGCAAGCATAATTGACATTGTATCAAAATTATAAAAGAGTAGGTCGAATATCGAGGATTTTTCACTATTTCCTGGTCACAGCAATAATTTGTATTTAATTGCAAGCAAAACACTACACGTGTTGCTAGGATATTACTGGTCCTGCTGTCCGGCGAGGATACTTTGCTATTATTTGTCCGACATGGAGGCGACCATCATTGAACACTTCGAAGTGCCAGAGTTGCAACTCCTATTGTGCTCTTCCTCTGATGCGTCACTGACTCGTTCGAGGCCATTTTTGACCCAACATGACAACGGATACAATTCCAGACGCAAACACATGTCTGGTTGCTGTCCGACATACATGGATACTCAGAGTCACTGGACCGTAACGTCATGAATGGAGCTAAACGGCATTTAATAGACCTCGATGGTAGGCCCAGTGAAAACTTGTTCGCTGTTGGACACCTTTTTCGTTCTTTTTTTTTTCATAAAAAGGATATGGAAAATGAAGCGCCCACTGTATACGAGTGCATGTATACTATAATGTACATATTGGAGACGACACAGTCTTTTGATATGGGTAAGTTTAGAACTGGGTAACTTCAAACAATACAAAGCCCTTATCGTCTTCCCCTCTGATTTTGGAGAGGGGGGCACAGTCTGAAGTGAAAGGGCAGAGACGCACCAACTACCAAGAAAACAATATCGCTAAATGATAGAATCATTAAGTCATTACATAATATGCGAAAGAGTGACTTACCAGCTCGGAATCTACTGGGTAGCTGAGGGTAACAACATAGGACGTGAGAGCGCCGATGCACAAGGGACCTACAAGATTTAAGACATCAGCTGTCACCTTAAGCAGCGCAGTCGCCAGCATAACAGATCCGTAGGCATCAAAATAGATCCTTAACATGGATGGTCTGGTGCCCTTTTTATCAGCCCGAGCCTGTACACGTAGGTTAAAAGAAATGTAAACCCCCAAACAGCTTAGAATTTCAGCTCACGGGAATGAAATGAAATGAAATGTTTCGCCCCCCCCCATTGCACTGGTATTTAAAAAAAGATACCACCACCTTTGGGAGGGGATTCATATAAATAAAACAAATATGGGAGTCCTAAGTAGACAAAAAGAAATTATTTTGTCTCCTGGACCCAAACCCTGGATAGGGCCTAGCCTTCCCAGGATCGGTTGCCATAAAAGAACAGACGAGTAGACTAATGAATACTCTTAAACAACGCTCAGAAACTACAACTCTCGTGTTTTATCATTTTTTGGAACGCAGACAGGGTAAAATTACAATGAAGGGTGACAGTACGGCATTTTTTAAAATTAAAGTCAAGGACATATATTTTCATATTTTTCTACGTAGGATAATTTTAATTTTAATTTAGAAATTTAAAGAGCTTTAAAACGATGTAAATTTTATCCCTGTGGCCGCTTTACTCCAGGCGATATGGCTGTCCAAACAAAGTAGTTCATACTTCTTTGTCAAAAGTTTGTTATCTCAAAACGAATTGACCGATTAGTATAACATTTCGGTTCTGTGGGTTTCTCAAGCAATCCAGTCAGCAAACCAACTTTTGTTTCAATCCGTGACGGTCAGGTCCAAAAGTGTGCAATTATTAATCATTTGGGTTTTTGTTTGGTTGGCTTACGCGATGTTATTGCTCATACTCTCGCTGTACCTTACAGACGCGCATGAAAGACATACACGTACGAACACTAAATCAGAGCTAAAAATATCTTTCCAAAAAATTGGGTTTGAATGAAAGAAAAAACATAATGGTTCAAAACAACAATGTCCTGTGACGGTACGGCAAACCACTGAACAAATAAACAAACATGCTATCGCCTAGATCGCTTTGAGTGCCTTTCACATGCTGAACAATTGATGTCAGTCTTGACAAGCTACAGCATAGGCCTAATGTTAGTCTGACTCAGTCTGGTCTCCTTGATACATGCGTCAAAGTGTTATTATTATGGCGATTATTATCACGATGGACTTAGGAACTGGGTCAAAGTTGGGATCCCTTTTCAGTGTTATAACTTGATGAAGCACGAGCGGCGTCCAGTTGTGCCAGAAACTGAGGCAATCGCGAATTGAGGGAGGAATGACTTGTCCGGCCATGGAAATTTGAAAAGCTGAAAGGGGGGGTGCTTACGCTATATCACATTAAGGGTTCATGATACACATGCACATCTATAATAATGCATGTTCTCCTGCAGAACCCTACATCAAAATGATCTATTTGTAGTTTGAAAACACAGCTGTTCTCCCCTTTTGGTTGCTATTGATACGTTTGATTTTGGCTGCTGACAACTCCAAAAATACTTCACAATCCACCTTCATTTCTTCTCACCATGAGTAAGTAGAGCGATGATTTAATAGCCCACAGCCTAATAGTCAACACGCAGGGAAACACCCCCCCTGCGATTTACGCTCATGCATGGAAGAATTGATATTGTAACTCGTTGTGCAACAAACAGCCTAGAGTAATGGGAAATAAACGCTGATAATTAACCCTTGAATGTAATACAGGTCTGACCGTCTCCACGTGGACGATTCTTTGATTCTTTTGTATTGATTATTTTCAAGAAAATCATTGGCCATTCGTACTACATGTACATGTATGTATAGAAGTATATGAAAAGTTGCTTCCGCCAGCAGCAATCAACGATCTACAAGAACTGTTACATTACCAGGAATGAGTACAGGGTCTGATTTGAACAGTAATATGGAGGCAAATCTTTATGGCTTCATTTACTAATGAAAAGCTCAGGGGTGTACTTTGTACAAATCATGCACTGGACAGAGAGTTACTTTAATTTGTCTTTGTAATTTTGGAAGTTGGTTTTCGCAAGGGACTGTGCTTTGGTAGACCCTGGATGAAGAGAGTAAAGTGGTATTGTCTTGTTTCACCTTTTCTCTGTCGAATGCTGCTTTGAACTTTCTGTGGTTGAAATCAGCTCGATGTCGTTCCGGAATGTCACCGAGGTCATCTTGTTCCAGGGGTTTCTTGTAGCCTTTTATGAATATCCAGTTCATCCACCAAAAAGTTGCGTTGGACACGATATTGACATAATCATTTAGGAATCGCATGTTGCTGTTCTGTAGGTCCTCGAAGACCTTTTTTCTATTGCTCGGGCGAAACACCTGCAAAAAACAAGGATTGGATCATGCCGGAAGCAAAAACATGGTTCGACAGAGTTCATTTCATGAAGTGCTTGTCCTTCAAAAGTACTTTTTAAACAGCGAGACATCTGCTAAATGGCACAGAAATATGGCATACCGTATGAAATTTTAAGATTAATTTTACTATCTTTAGTAGCGCCAGTTACTTATGGGCATTAAAATGGCATCTGACATTATTCCAAAGCTTATAATGGAAGTTCAGCCTACTGATAATGTACTATGAAAAACCGTATTAATAAATTGTGAGAAGTAACAACGCCTTCAAACATGGAAGCATGTCATTATAAAACAAATGAAAACAAAATAAACAAAACAACGTTGCAAATCCACTTGAACTGAACTGCACACATGTCTGTCTGCCTGAATGCTTCGTTGTTTCATGCTAATTTAATACACGTAATAACCTAAACGTTGTTTTAGTTTTAAGATCTCTGTTTATTAAAGGAAGCAGCAAAAATATTTTTACCTTTATTCTGATCAAATTCATCGCGTTTAGAAGAAGGATGAAGTACGCAATCACCATGAGAACCGTCACATCGAATCGTAGCACTGTGAAATCGATAATGTTATGCTGCCCCAGGTTAACAAGGCGTAGCACTTCTCCCACCAGCGCCAAGATCCAGTAACACAGCAACGGGACAGACATGACCGGTAGCTGCCATTTCTCCATGTGATGGTAGTAAACCAGTGACATGAGCATTGCCACGAATGCAGCAGCGCTGGGGACGTAGTAGTGGGGCCGGGTCGAGTACTGCCATACTCGGTACGTCTCATCCGTAAGAACCCCCTCACCAATGGCTGCTGCTAAAACGGCCAAAGATAAAATGCCCACCAGCCACTTCACAGAGTGCCCAGGATAGCACAGGAGGTAGTTCGTCTTGGGAAGGTCACGGTACTTGCAGCAGAAGCCCAGCAGAAACAAAGCCAGAGCAGAAAAGATGATGAATGCTAGGTGAGGTAGCACAGCCAGCCCGTTGATGAAGCATGTGTTGCCGATCCATTCAGCCGAGAGGTCGACCGAAAGGTCGGAGTTGTTAGTACCGCAGAACCACTGCCATTCCTCGTACATATTGCACTGTTACAACGGGAAAACACGGCGTTTCACTTAGCAAATGCAGCGTTCACAAATAACACAACCCCAGCACCTTTCCTGTTTTCCACGACAAAATCAGTCAACTATATGTCTTGCGTTATTCCCCTTCCCCTACCAAAATTCCCTATCAAGTATCAATGCACTGTAACAGTCCCCGGCCAGCGGTGTCAAGTCCGGTGCACGCGTTTGACACAGAAAAAGTGCGTAATCACGGTAGAGGGTAAAGTTCACCCATGGTAGATGCATGCATACTCCACTCGCTGCTTCGTCTGTCCCCGTAAGTTCACAACACTCATCGGATGGGTTTTTTTTTATCGCGTTCATTATTTGCTGTGTATGCAGTGAAGTAACTACATATATTAAGCCCCCCCCCGTTTTAGAAGTATGATGTGCAAGGGCATTGGTTAGTTTTGTTGGCAAAATCATGGTCTGTCGGCAAAATAAAAAAGAACGGAAAATGGAGATGAAAGGGGGGATACAGTATACTCATTTCAGTTTGCGTGATGGTCAGTGTCGGCACATTTTATGTGCCCTGCCCTCAAAATGGTTTAGCGACGCCCATGCTTCCGTGCATGCAAGCAGAAGTAAAAAAAAAATGATATCCGTGCAAATACGGAAATAGGTTTAATGGAGAGGTAATAATCAGTGTTCGCCACTCGAATCTGTAAGATTGAAAGTGGCTGCTCGTGAGTCCCTTATTTTTTTTGGACATTAAATTTTTACTTACCGGTAGAACACGCCGTGTCCGAGTCCCGGTTTGAACAACAGATGTTTCCGCAATCTAGCTGAACAGCAGCTTCCAGTGAAGTAATTGACGGTTTTCCTCTGAAGGAGTAAGTCAGTAGTAAAATTGTGCCCTTTGACCTGTTGTGGTAACAAGAGCAAGATCACCTATGTATAGAAAATAAATGGAGAGGGTTGTTGTTGAAATGGAAAAGAATGGATTTGGAATAGGTTAGGTTGAATATATTACAGTTTCACTCTTCTGTATTGGAAAAATAATTAAAGATTGTACAACGTATATAGGAACTATAGGAGATCAGATTACAATTGAACCCTCGTGTATTGCAAGCGGTGGTGCAATATTGCGAGGTCGGTTAGTAGGCCTTTTTACTGATAAGAATAGGCCTAAATATGAAATAGGTTTTTGGACACTTGAATATTTTCAGCATCACTGTACAGTGGTAGGGCCCGTTCCGGGTGTGTGACAGCAAAGACTATAGCCCGTAATTAGTGTACAAAGTGCGCACGACTCGGCGGTCTGTACAATGACAACTCTTCACCACATCCAGACAGGTCGGATGTACTCTGTACATAGCCCCCGCACTACAAGCCAACATAAACCATTCTTTGTTTAAATAATCGAAAGAATGCAGCGTCTGTGTATTAATTTATTCTGTTAATTCAATTAAATTCAATTTCGATTTTATTGTAAAAAATCCCCGCGAAAAAGTCAAGGGACTACAACTATTTGCTTTACAGTAAAAAATTAACAATGGAATGGTTACAAAAAAAAACATAAAAGGGGCACAATTTTAGCAAATATGAGACTAAAGATGCCTTATATAATTACAAATAAGATTAAGATATCATAAATAATACAACGGAAAATACACTGGTATAAATTGAATTAAAAGAAACAAACACAAAATTACAACGAATGAAAATTAGTGAGTCTAACCATGGTAATATTTCTTTGTGAGCTTATACGAATACCGTAAGATGATTTGAATATCTGAGATAGCGATTGATTAGAGAATGCCTCTGATTAGGAAGCATGTGATGTTTTTCAGAACCGCAGTTGCAATGTGGAGTGACAAGGTTAACACATATGTCTGACAGCGACTAATTATCTTGCAAGTTACTTTAGAATAAAACATATTTAACCCTCACATCCATGCAAGCTGACCACATCAAATGTGGTTAATTCCTCAATTAGATCTTGAAAGCAAGTTATACATAAGACGTCCTGTCGAGACTTGGAAGCCACGAGTATAAATTTGTGAGACAACAATCACTGTCTATATAAAAAATTTCTATTTTCTATTTTGATAATATAAATATATAAACGCCAGAAATATTTTTAAAGCAATGTGTGCAAGGTAAAACAAAATCTTATCGTCAAATTGTCGATACTCATTGTTGAAGTACGATTGGAGTAATGTCGAATTTGAAAGGAAACACCTTTAAATGGAAATGTTAAAGTGCAGTGCAGTGTATTTCAATGGTCTATAGGCCTACGCTATAGGTCCTACAGGGCTGCGGACGGCACTTACCTCGCACAGCCATTTTGAGTGATGGCTATAATAATACGTTGTAAATTTCAAGCGAAGGTAATATGTAGAAAGGAGAGCTGAAACAATAAACTCTGTCGCGAAAAATACTTACCTTGTTATATCTCGACAGCTTCCTGATGTCCACGCTCAACTTCAACTCCAAAAATAAAATTGTGGTATGTCGAGCAGTGTTGTCTTTTATAGTCCTCCTCCTAACAGGCCAGCTGCACGTGCTGCAGTTCAAAGTTCTTTTTCTAATTTTTAAATTTTTTGGTCGGCTTGTTTATTCAAGTTTTTGGTGCCCTGTACAGTTGACTGGCGGATACTTTGTCACCAAAGGTTTTGTCCGGGCAAATAAACGAATGAACCCTTCGGAGATCAATAACAAAAGCTTTGTCAATAAATGCAATGCAGTGAAATTGCCTAGTCACTGTGAATTTGACCTTTATGCGGATAAACGTAAGTCTTGCTTTAAAGGGGGCGGCTAAAGGAGAAGGCGTAATCAACAACTGTAACGAGTCACTAAACGTTGCCACTCGAGTAATTCTCTGAGTAACTCGAGTTGAGTCATTTCAGCGTGGTGACTCGAGTTGAGTCCATTAGGTAAAGAAGTCGAGTCCAGTCAAGTATCGGCAGCTAGAAGACTGATTCCCATCCTGCACATAGACCCCAGACGTCTTATAGGATAATGTAACAGTCCAATTGGCAGTGGCAGATAACATGAACTGACGTTTTGGTCTTATATCTGAATGGCTTCTAGTCTGGTGTAAGTTTTTTTTCGCTGATCTTTGACGTTAGGGGCTAACTGTATTACAAATCTACTTCTTATTATTCAAATGTAGGCTTTTGCCCATTTATGCTTCGAAATCAAGTAATGAATATACTGATTATCCATCAAGGGCTTATTAATAAGATATCCCCCGAGCAATGATGAATCCACGAATTGAGAAATACATTTAAGTCCGGTTTTGGCTAAACGCCACAGTACCACGTGGTGGGAACTGCAACATGCTTGCTGCTTCACGGAGGAAGGACACTATAGACAGCCGCTATGCATGTTTGTATGTTCATCGGATATAATTTGCGACAAGACTTGAACATTATGAACCAGTACCGCAGGTTTCCTTCATAAGGGGGACCCAAGTCTAATAAACATTTATCTGAGTTGCGTCTTCCAATGCCGGACTCGAGTTGAGTCATTTCCTCGAAATGTCGAGTGCCGGAGTCCAGTCATTTACCCACAACGACTCGAGTCGAATATTCGCAAAAAATTGTACTGCAGTCGGACAGTAGTCGAGGTGGTTGAGTCATTCTGGCAACATGCATTTTTAAGCCAATGTTGAGACAGCTTTTGTACGTTCTGTCAATTGCTGGCACATGTAACAAGCGTGTGTATATGTCATTGAATAATTTTTCATTCCAGCGTTAATATTTCCCAAAGGAACAGGTCTTCAACTTGACACCAAGAACAACAATTTCTGACATTTATTTTGAGAGGAAATAATACTACATTTAGATTCCGGCGGGGGGCACCTGTATGTTCAGTTGTTTGCTGAGCATGACAGTTGGGGGTCAGGAAAAACACCAAAAAATATAGTTTGCGTTTAATTTTCCTTTTCCAAATCTGCAAAATAAATTTTTTGGAGTTCGGTTGTAGTTGAATTCTTATTGAGGGTCTCGGTTGCAGTGGGCTTTTGTTAGATAAGCTTTTGGCTTGGTTTTTTTAATTTTGGATTTGTGTTTTGGAATTGAGGTTGCAAATAGATCTAGGTGTTGTTTAGGCCTTGGCTTGATGAAGATAAGACGTAAAAAGGTATAAGTCTGGGTTTTCCTGAATCACATGGGATTGATTTTTTGAGGAGCATGGTTTGTGGTCTGGCTTTGGGGTTGAGGTAGGATTGCGGGGTTTAGTATGTGGGTCTGACTTGGGTGTCTGATTTTATCTGATGTAACATTTGGGAAAGGGGTTGTTTTAGGTTTGAAATTAGGTTGCATTTTATCTGGAGGTTGCGGTTATACTTGAAGGTGACATTTAGAGCTATTGTTTTGGCATGGTTTGGAGTTAGCGCTGGGGTTGGGTTGGAGTTGGGATTGAGGTTGGTTTTCATAGTTTAGGTGTCGAGATTAGGTCTGTTTTGGTTTTTTTGGCAGGAGAATGGACAGGGTTTCATCGAGCCTAGTGTTTCCGTTGCGTGTACGCAACGTTGGCGTATTGGCGCGTGCTAGGGGTTGAACGTTCTGGTTATTGGTTACGGGTTACATTTTTGGTTGGTAGGTGGGTGGTTGGGTTAGGAGTGAAAGGGTTGCGTCTCTTGTTGAACTGGGTTTGAATTTCACTTTCTTTTGTTTTTCTGGGTGCTTTTCAAACAGGGGCGTACCCAAGATTGTTGAAATACCGCTTGGCTTGGGATCCCAAGACTAAGGGGTCCAGGGGCATGCTCCCCCAGAAAAGGTGATGCGATTTGAAAACCGTCGGATCATTGCCGAATTTGTTTTGGAGATATTGATAAGCAGTCTTTATTGTTGTTCTATTTGATAATTTGAGTTTTGTTTACCATTTCAAGACTGAAATCATTCGTGTTTGATGCAATTTAAACTTTAATGTTAATGTGCAATCCTTACCGTTACACGTACTGTCATATGCAACACTCCTTTCAATCGAACAATGAATGTGAAAGCAAGTACTACGAATATCTTTAAATTTGCCTGATTTTGCTTGAAAGAATCCCTGCTCACACACTATTTCAATCTTTCAGTCAGTCAAATTTGTGTGATCTCAGTGAAATTTTAATCAGAAACGGGAAGCCTAATTGATTTCTCAAAATGAAGTCAGTGGATTTTTTATAACTTCCCGAGAGCATAATCCAATCTATAGACAAGCGGGAATGATGGATTGTACAGTTTTGGAAACAGCACCATGTCCACATTAATTTGATGTCCATACTATAAAACATAAAACAAAAAATTTCACCATGTAATGGGTTTTCGCATATTATGTCACTTTTTGTTTTTAAAGGACATCAAACCCTGTAATCAGATGCATTGTAAACAGCCGGATAGACAAATTCAAGACTTCTGTTTGTGGTTGCTTTTATTAGTGAAACAATAGAGGATTACAGCTTAATAAAATGGGGGTGGGGGTGTTCGAAGCCCCTCCCCGCGGGGGCTCTTGTTTAAAATAATTTGAATTTTAAGTCATCGACAAAACAACACCTGATAGGTGATCTAAAAGTACCCAGAATGCAAACTGTATGCAAGTACCATTACCCTTTTTAACAGTGAATAAATTTTAAAACAAGGAATTTAGCAGTGAAACATTAACTCTGAAAGTGGTCGTTCAAGGTCGAGATAGGTGGTGCCTTGTATATCAGTATTCGTAGAGCACTTTCGTGCAGACGGAAACAGGCAATCTTTACTTTTCTCGTCATTTTATCTATTGTGTATTTGGGAGTGTATGAAACTATTGGAATGTAATCTACAGTTAGTCCTACGTAGTCTGGCCCATGCAGCGTAAGTCAAATAGAAGCAGCGATTCACTCGTCTGGCAGGTCGCATCACACCGCGGGATGAACAGTAAAACAGGGACATTGTTTGTACAGTTATCAGGTTGTCACCGGACAGCTGTGATCAGAAGGGGAGGAGTTGAGGTGGACTTTACACAGCCGTTTATACACCCTAACGTTTAAAAACAAAAAACATCCTGGCGACTTCTCGGCGGGTCTTGTTGCTTGGTCGTGCATGGGCTGTTGCGCCGTGATGTCATATTATTCGCGGCCTGGTCGGGTCTTTGACTGAGCGACGGAGCCGTAGATCTGCAAGTAGGCCTACATGAAGGAGGACAATGACAGGGAGAAAGCGAAGGTCCAAAGAACGTGGCAGTGGCTATAGTTCCTCCAGGCCTCAGGAAAGCGCGCATTGTTGATACAAAATGCCTAGTACGACGCATCCTACAGATATAGTATAACTAGTTCTATATACATTTTATGTAAGCCTTTCTGCATGCGCATTGTTTCTACTTGTATTTCTCTTCTATAGTGTAAATGTTCCACTATGAATAATTACCTTGTTTCTCTTCAAGAGAAGAAAATTAGTTTGTTAAATCCTTCAGTTTCAATTTCGGTTACGATGGTGGTTTTTATTCCCCCTCGACCCGTCATATTCATAATTTTAGGTAAATAATGTTATATAGCTCTTCGTGAACGACTGATTGTTAGCAGTACTATATTGTTAAAATAGTTATGATAAACGAGCTACAATGATTTGTGTGTTTCATAGAAAACCAAAGTAAATGTAACGATACAAAACACGGACAGCCACAGTGAAATTTACATAGTTAATGCAGAATAATTTATTATCGGTATAACTGCTGGGCTTTGTTTAAACTTAACGTGATTTTCTGAATAAGAGACAATAACAATACAGATTACACTGCGTGATGGGTGCAGCAAACACACTTTTTTCTGAGAACGTAAAAGGCAAATAGGTGGGACAAACTTGTCAGACGATTTAATAATAAATTATTTCCAAGACAACAACACTAAATAGCGGTTTATTAAAACTTAACTGCTTGCAAATCTCGATACATTTGCAAATTGCGTTCAGAACAACAAGTTATACTTTGCGCTGACGTTCGTTTTAGTCTACTTATTTCCAGGAAACATTTACTTCATCCCAGTTAATGACTACAACTACGAATACACGATCATTAGAGATTAACATAATAAGTGCAATGTAGCTGATCCATACAAATGCAATACGGTTTAATGAATTTTCAACATGGACGCAACTGCACGTGATTATTACATTTGATTTAGATGAAACAAAGGATGCTGCTTAGAACAGCCGTATTGTAGACACTCAGTACCATACTGATACAGCAAGGTGTCAAAGATGGACTCCTTTTGTCATAAACATTCTAAATCATGGATAATCAGCAAATCATAATCAACATACTGTATCTTGTTTCCGTTTTGCAAGATGAAATCGTCAATTTTAATTTATGCATCTCTGCACGTAGAAGAGTCTCTAACACATTTTACCTTGAATATCACCTTTTGTAATTGGGTCAGGATATCAAAACACCTTCCAGGTAAAAAAAAAACTGTGATATTTTCTGCATTTACAGCTGTGATTTTTGTTCTTTGAAAAACACATGCTAATGAAATTGTTAACCTAATTGGTGTTAAAATGTTGCAATCAAAGTACAAGAATTGTGTCCACCTCGACTTCCTTTCTATTCTGTCTCTGTTTTCTGGGCACTGACCTTTGTGCGTTTATATTTTGGTGTCCTCTGAAGCGCTGGATGTGTGACTAAAGGGTTCCCGTCCGTGTGACACGGT